TAGAAGAGAGATATGAAAAACATTATATATATAATATAATGAGAATAGTGATAGCTTGTAGACTTAAGTGTTAATATATTTTTACACTGTGAAGAGTTCTAGAAACTTATGATTTAACTTCTTATTAAGATATCTTATTTTTATATTTTTATCATTGAGAAAGACTAGATCTTCTTCTTTGAATTCTTGAGAATTGTTACAGATATAGTGAGTCATGAGATCTTAAGTATATAGTAGACAGAAGTAAGTCTCTTCTTGAACTTCTCTGATTAGTACTGTGTGATATTCAGCATCTGAGTGATTTAATTCTGAGACTGAGAAGTTGAGTATAGTCAGCAGTGATGAATAATGTTCTAGATTTATGAAAAAGAGTGTGATATCTAGTGCTGAATGAACTGAATTACTGTATACAAACTCTGCAAGAGCTAGAAGATTTATTCAGTTTATTTAAAGATAGTCTATATAAAGATAAATATAGATTTCTAACTCTCAGTTCTGTCTTTCTGTTTATTCATCAGTCTGTGAATAATATACTGTCAAAAGTCTGTAATCTATGTTCAGAGTTTGTGAGAGAGTTTGTTAAAATTCTGAGATGAATAGATGATCTCTGTCTAAGATAAGAATAGCAGACATGCTATATAGATAAACTATATTGTTAATGAAAAGATAAGTGAGTGTCTCTGAAGTAATATTAATAACTGTAGATATATAGTGTGATCTCTTTGACTGTTTACAGATAATAACTAGAATAATATTAAAGATGACTTCTATTGCTGCACAGAGTGATTTAGAAAGATTAATAATGAAGTTAAGTGTGACTGTATACTAGTTAGTATTTGAAATGAGAACTGATGTTAGCTTGTTATATATGTGATATGATATAGGTTTTGTATGCTTGTATATCTCACATCTCTTATAATATTTATCAATTTCTTGATATATGTGAGACTAATAGAATCAGTGTTGAATTAGGCTGTATATTTGACAGAAATCAGAGTGACTGATGATGAGAGTATTATAAAAGTATTCTAGAAGAAGTTGCTTTGTAAGAAGATATTCAGAGACTATAATACAATTCTGATAGAAAAGCAGTTCATTTTCAATAGCTCAATTCTCTAGATAGTTATGATTAATAAGAGAAATAAGAGATTCAAGATTCTCTGAGAGATGCTGATGTATAATGTCTAGAAATGAGCTGAGAGTAAAGTCATCACTATAATACATATCTGTAGCTATTAATATAGCAGCTATTCTGACTTGATGAAGATGATCTTATGATCTGTTCAGAAAGTGATGAAAATTGTTATTAAACTCTATCAGCTTCTCTGACTTTGATCTGTAGTCTGAGTGCTGACTAGAGACATCTGCTGAGTTTTTATAATCTTTCTTATACTTAATAATAATGTCTAGCTCACTCAGATGCTGTGCTCAGCAGGCCTGACAATGACTGAGTATTTTAATTATTAGAAAGAGAAGAAGGTTATTATAATTACTGTAAATAACTGTTTTATAATGATTACTCTGTATGAAGTGACTTCAATGTCTGATTAACTCTATGATAGTCAGCATTTTCTAATCATATATGCTGTAATTATATTCTATATTTATCATTTTTCTGCTGTAGAATACAACTGAGTGTAGATATTCATCTGCTTCTTTCTGTATAAGAATTTCACTTATGATGTAGTCACTGACATTGCAGAAGATTATGATTTCTAGTTCATTAGAGTAGAAGATGAGAGAAAAGATCTTGATAAATTTATCTTTTAGCAGCTGAAAACTGAAGTCTTCAGTGTCTGTTCATTGAAAGATCTTATTAACTTTCAGCAGATTTATCATTGATAGAGTAACTTTGCTATAGCAGTGTATGAAGTGATGATAGAAGTTACAGAATTCTAGAAATTCACAGACATCTTGAATAGATCTAGAAGTGAGCTATGATACTATAGCTTCTACATGCTTTGAGTTCATTCTTGTGCTGTGACAGCTGATTATATAGCTCACAAAGTCAATTTCTTCCTGTAGAAAGTAACATTTGAAGAGATTGTATATCAGCTGAGTCTGTCTGAGTTTCTGAAGTATCTTTCAGATGTGTTATCAATGAGTCTCTGAACTGTCATCTTTTATGTATATAATAACATCATCTATGTAGATCATAGTGAATTTGTCTATGTATAAGAGAAGAGCTGTCTGAATATACTATTGAAAGTGACTGAGAGAGTTGCAGAGACTGAAGAGAATAACCAGATATTCATAATTTTCATAATATATTTTAAAAGCTGTGAGATATTCATAATCCTCTGTGATTTATAGCAGATGAAAGACATGAACCAGGTCTAGCTTTATGACTCAGTGAATTCTGTTAAATCTTTTCAGAAGCTCTGAAATTAGAGATATTATATATTGATTTTTAACTGTAATTGTATTTAGATTTCTATAGTCAATATAAAATCTTTTAGAGCTGTTCTTCTTAAGAGTAAATAATACTGAGAATGCATGAGAGCTTTTACTAGGCTGAATGAATTCTTGTTTCAAATTCTTATTAATATACTTCTTCAGAAGCTGTAGTTTCTTCTCACTTATATTATATAGTGAACTCTTCTTGAGAGTCTTATTATTTATCAAAGTTATCTTCATATCTGCATCAGAACAGAGAGGGAGAGAGTTTGCTGTAAATAGATGAAAAATATTCTGAAAATTCTCTAACTGAGATGACAGAGTGTCTGATACTGATTGTGTTAGTTCAGAGAATTATAACTAGACTATAATGAGAATTATTTCCTCTCTGAGGAATTTTCATGACAGAATATCTTCTATATCTTATTAGTATATCTGAAACCTGTTGAATATCTAGTCTGTGTTTCAATGAATGTTGAGATTCATGTTATATAGTCAGAGCATGTCTAGAATAAGAGATAAAATCATTGATATAGAGTGAAAGTAGTATGTGATTAGCTATTCATCAGAGTTCAGCAGAGTAAGTTTATAGATAAAAAGAGCTGTTTAATATAAGTAATACTGTAGATTCTTCAGAGAGATCTCTACTACTAGTATTTTAACAGTATTTAATACTTCTGCTACTTTTGAGATTATGATATTTAACTCTGCATCAGAGTTAACTAATGCTGAGAGAGTAATACAGCTGAGATATTTTATATTAGAAAGAGTGTTATAGATGTGATATATAAGATATATTATATTATTGAGAACTGAGATAGTATTGAGAATTAATATATTATAGTAAATAATCTTTATAAATAAGATATATTCATCAATCTGCTGAGTGAAGAAGTTGACTTAAGACTTATCAGTGTATGTGACTGTCTCTAGTGATATACTGATTCATTTTTTAATTTTAAAAAGAAGAATGAAGAGTGTATAACAGCATAATCTGAGAAAACTATATATAAGTGATCATTGATAATCACAGACATAGAAGTACTCTGACAGTTACAGATCTCTACAGATGAGTGTATAGAGACTGATATTAGATAAGTATAGTATTCTACTATTCAGTGTCTCATTTATCTGTATCAGATGCAGATCTCTTTACATTGATATTTTTAGTATTCATTATCTGTGATGTCTGAATTCTTATTACTACTATATAATGATCTGAAATAATCTCTGTTAACAGTGATATTAGAGATTGTATTATTTTATGTAAAATTAAATTTAACTTAGCAGTTCTGTGAGATGAGTTAATATAATATAAAAATATAACTCTTTATTATTATGACTGTCTTCTTTCATTCAGTGAAGAATACTGATTAAGTATTAAAGTAAGCTTAATTAATCTGATAAAGAATTAGTGTTATCAACTTGATGTAAAATGTGATATATAGTACAGAATTATTTCACTTCAAGTCTGCTATAATAATCTTGAAATTGACAATGAAGTTCACAGTATATTAATTGTATTATATATGAAGAAAGTTCATTTATAGCTCTGCAGTGAGAGCTGTGTTAATCTCTCAGTAATTATCACAGAGTTATATCTTCAGAATGTCTCAGATAATGATATATATATTATGTTTCATTTACATTCACTAAATATATTAATGAATCTTAGAACTAAGATAGCTGATACTGAAAGAGATTTTAAAGACTTTATTAATAATAAAACATTTACAGATGTTATTATTTATATTCAGTAGTCAGAAATAAATATTACTAGTCTTATTAAAAATATCTGATTCATATAATTTTATCTTAGTAATAGTAGTTATGAGTTGATAATGAATCTGAGCTGAGAGTGTGTCTTTCATATAAATGATAGCTTTCAGCATTTTCAAATATCAGATCAGTTATGCATTGACATCAGTTATTTAACAGTTCTGAGTGATTAGTTCATTGACTTGATCTGTAAGAGCTTGAATTTATGTGATTTGACTGAGTGCTATTTTTTTTTTTTTTTTTTTTTACTGCAGGACACTGTGTATGAAGATGTAGAGAAAAAAAAATACTGCAGATCTGTGACTGATAGTGAAATGAGAAGATTCAGTAATGTTACAGAATGAAGATTAACTTTATCAGGGTGAATAGCAGCAGTATACTAGATTATATTGGAACTGAATCTTGAAGAAGAAGAAGAAGAGGAAGAAGCTATCTAAGCTAGAGATGAGTGGTGAGTGGATATGGGGTGGCGAGGCTTGTGTGGGTCACCTGACCATGCCCTATGCCCTAAGATCCTTATAGGACCGCAGGCTTCCGCCAATCCTCGTTAGTCTCCCCCAGTCCAAACCTTGGCTTTTGCCACCTTCCACCCACGTTTATTTTTGTACATCGGAACCCTCCCATTCAATGGCAAGCGATGGCCCGTGCAGTCAGCCTCCCACGGGTATATATATCGTAGACCGTCAGACGTAATGCCACCTCCACAAAGAGCTTCTTCAGGTGGTCAAAGTGTGCCTTTTTAAACTCCACCCTTCTTCCTTTCACTCCTGATATCCGCCATCCATGCCGCTACGTTATCAACAGCCTGTTTGGGAGATCACCTGTCCGGCGATTGTCATGTTCCCTTTCACCCGGCGTCGTTTGGCGCATATCGGTGATGAAAACAATCCGGCACAGCAATCTTCTTCAAAATAGTTATTAGCACGGGCGCTTTTTCTTGTACGGACTGATGAGCACTGTGCCCCAAAAGCAATATTCACGGTCCAAGGCCAATTCCTTGCAAGCTACGCCTCGTGCTGAAAAGAGTTCCTTTGAGTGGGCTGAAGTAAAACGGTTGCTCTTTTATACAACTATCCGGCGCCTAGACGATAAAATCCCCTGCTTAGGTGGACGACGCCCAATAGGCTCCCGATCTATACAAGTATAGGTGAAAATGCTGTTCGGCTGTTGATGACAGGGTTGGAATTGCTATCTACAGCGGTACATCGCTATTGTCATGGCAGCTGCGAAATATTCCATCCCAACGCGTGAAGAAAAATTCACTTGGTTCATTCAAGCTGGTGTTTGATTTCGTCCAGCGAAGGGAAGTTTTTTTCGGCCGCGCATGCCAAGTGTTACCAAATAGCTTTGTCAAAACCATCTGCATTATACATCCCATGCGTTAGGTAGCGGCCGCCTGTTACTAAACATAAAGACACTGCTCACACCGGCTCTATCTTCCCGTGCCAGTCCCTGATTACTTGTTCTGCTTGTCTGCCTTGTTGCCTTGCGCTGCAACGTCTTACTACCGTAGTACTTCCCAACAAACATGTCTGCGTTTTATTGGGAGCCCAAGTTGCCGGGGATTCCGCAAAGATAGAGCCTTAGGGATTCCACACCTGACTAAATCCTCACACAATTTCCTCCGCGATGAGAAGTCGTCCGCAGATAAGGGTGCCGAACACTTAACTCCTTCAATCTTGCCTCTGGAAGCCTCGCTGCCCATGCCACATAGCTTTTCTGTATCTGCGGCCAATTCTGCCACTGTCTCGTACTCGCCGTACCAACACCTCCTGATTATGGAGTCGATCATTGCCTCCCGGTTCAACTCTGGAAATATCATATTTTGTAGCAGATCCATGACAACAGGCCCGTGCTCCTTACCAGAGGGATCGTCACCGAAACATTGATCGCCATAAACTTCAAATCCGTAATTTATTAGATAGAATAACGAACCAAGCGCAAATTGCTCTGTTCGTGGGCCAAGTAGGCCTGCAGTTCCTTGGCGGGGCCCTCCTTCACTACCAAGCAGTCGGCCATATGGGGCAATACAAGCTTCGAATTGTGATCCAATGTCCGTCGTGCTGTCGAAATCCGAAAGCTTAAGGCGGTTGCGGTCAAGTAGAATATTCTCGGGTCTGAGATCCCCATGCGCAAGGTTTAGGGACTCGAGAAACGCGACGCCATGAGAAAGATCATTCATCCATGTTTTGCGCAGGTAGAGTGGTTCAAATTTTTCCACACTAACAACCCGCATTGTTTCATGGTCCCGGATGTGATTTTGTTGAATTCGCCAGGAAAGGCAGATATCTCTCATATATTCAAGAAAGATACAATCGTTGGTGTGCAAGAAGCAGGATATCACATAGGGACATGGAGGATGACGCGAGAGAACGTTGAAGATCTCAACCTCTTTGCGAAACTGTTCTCTCTCTTGGGCCCCAGCTTTAGGTACCTTTACGACGACGAGAGGGTTCACCTCGTAAACATAGCAGTTGGCTCCCTCGCTAACCCAGAACAAATCATCCAGTAAGCGTTCGGGGCCCATAGCACTGTAAATGTCCGAAAAGTGCTGAACATGTGGTTCCAAATCGACGAAAGGTGGAGGTAGCCGGTTTTCAAGTTGATGACAGATTTGCAGAACAAGTTCTGCGAGGTTGGCGATACTGAGTTCAACTGAACAAAGTTTGGGCTGTTTGTCTTGTTTGTCTCATAAGTACCTTCCCATACTAAATTGGCGGGGAGAACAAAGTTGTCTGGTGGCAAGGAAGTGGTGAAATACGTTATTGACTTGTTACCTTTTAGTTGCAAATCGGCCACTTTGTACTACATTTAAGCAACACAAACACAGCAGGGTAATTTCACACTAAATTAGTGGAGTGGTACAAACGGCCAAGTAACAGGGATTGATAACCACACTACTTACCCGGCTAATTACACACCTCAAAAATTCGACCATTCCTATTCAAATATAGCGTATACACAGCCGTACATACAAAATAACTAGCGTTCCAATGTAATCGATATGTGTTCCCCCCCCCCAAAACCCCCTGTATTCATGAAGAAGATTGTCAAAACTGTACAGAGTACAGAGTACTCTGTAGTGAGATGATAAATTCTATCCTATCCTACACAGGGGTCTTACGGCCACTGAGAGGATAGAACAGGCACTTGATAGGGGGAATAGACACCTCACTGTCAACCCAGCCGCCACTGAGCAGTATACAGTTTATACAATGAATGCTGGGTGGGTGAGTAGTTGGTAGCAGCAGTGCTAATCCCCCTCCAGCATCTACAACCCCCACAGCTCTTGAGAATAGTGAAGAATCATCAAGAAAACAGGCCGCCACCCTAACCTCCCCCTGACACTCCCCAGGGCACAGAAATCGCACTGTCCGGAAATCCCACTACAAGATCAGTTCTCAGGTGATAAATGACATGTTTTTTGATATTTTGAGCGGAGAGCAGGATGCAGGAGTTGATCTGCTGGAGGATATTCCAGTTCTTGAGAGCCGCCATACGCAGAGCCAGGGGGTACCACGGCGGGATTGGGGGGGTGATGCTTTTGCATATACTCCGTATTTCGGATTAATATTAGTAATGAATTGAGGGGTTGGGCACATATCGATTACATTGGAACGCTAGTTATTTTGTATGTACGGCTGTGTATACGCTATGTTTGAATAGGAATGGTCGAATTTTTGAGGTGTGTAATTAGCCGGGTAAGTAGTGTGGTTATCAATCGCTCAAGTAACTGCTGTGGCCCATTTTAGTTGACATAATTTTCACGGTGATCGTACCACAACACCAATTTAGTAAGGCAAACAAGGCAAACACAGTAAGGGTGGTACAGGTGGAACACATTTTCAACATGGAAGAATTCCATATAGCTATTTAAACAATCAAAAGTAATCAAATTTCAATTGTACGATATTTCTCATTCCCACTCTCACCCGTATGTGGCCGTACGGCAGGGGTCGATTCTCGAAATACGCCTCCAGAAACAACAGAACCCATCCAAGTTTAAACCTTCTGCCACTGTCCCTGTACCTTCACCCAAGCTCCCCGAGCAATGCAGTCAGGGCAAGGGTCCCTCTTAGTCGTCTGGCCCAAGTAGGATGTTTTGATAACTGTCCCACAATTGCCACAGTCCTGATATTCAATAATGTCTCCAGGTGAGTCGATCACATGTTGGCATCGATGGACAATTCTTGTCATGAGACGTTGGCACATATTGTTTTCTATCCAAACTGTTAGAGCCAAAAATGAACAAATAGTCTCTAAATGATTCTTAGATGGCGGCGGCGGATTCTGACCTTGCGAGTGACTGACAGGTCGCAGTTCTGCGTTGTTTAAATTGGGCTTTTATATCTTTCCGGGCGATTATGGAGTTGCACCCGGCACTATAGTGTTATCTAGCAGATACCAACGGATATTTAAGTTGTTAAAGGCGCGGTTTCTGTGAACCACTTGCATGGCTGCCGCCTGCCCCCAGGCTGCAATTCAAACAAGTTCTCACCGGCCGACGAATCCCTGCGGGGCTTCCACCTCAAGCTGTAGTGATGAGTTGCCTCTCAGTCACAGTGCATATGAGTAATGGACGCTATTGGTCTAATGAGCAAAAACGAAAAGATTCTCTGAGTCATTTATCCCCCTCTCTGCAAGTCTGCTCCCCGCAGGTAGACTTGCAAGGCGCGGCTGGGAGGAAGAAGAGGGGCACTCATTTTTAGAATCCAATCTGACGCCATAGATGCCTGTTGTTTCGTGCAAAGCCCGCTTAGTACCCTCACTTCTTTGGTTTGTTGATGAGGCTGGCAAGCGATGCCCTCTCTATCTTAGGGATTAACTGTGACAAGCGCACCGAAGTGGAATAGCCCTTGACACTGCGATTTATGTTGGGCCCGACTTACAGTAAAATATCAGAGCATTCTTTCGTTGGGCATTCATGCATGAACAATGTATCCTTGTAGATGTTAGCTGGGCTTCTGCAGGTTCTCCTCAAGCATTCCAGACTGAGATCAAAAACAAAAGTGATGTTACCTAAAAATGTGGATCAAAGGCCACTTGAAATGCGAAGGGAAGGAGGTAACTGAGCCTGAACTCCAGATGGACGCCGTGAAGCACCATGAGAGGCCAAGGAGCAGAATATCAAACCTCCTCTTTTTGCCTTACACTTGGCTATGATGCCGTGGTATTTTTGGCCCAGTATCTGTGTCTTTTCCGGTGATGAAGGATGCCTAACCTGATTTAGTTTTGCCGCATGATTCTAGATTAATACAACCGTTCTCCCAACCGTTTTCAACTTTCCACAACTGTTTTCAACTTTTCCCAACTCTACTTCATGCCTCAAGCTCAGTTTTCGGTGGAATCCGCTGTTCGCCGGCTCCGCGAGTTTTCAGAGTTAACGGAACACCGGATGGGCCTCAAACCAAGAGAAGCGAGGCGTGCTCACGCAGCATTTCAGCTGTTAGCTACTGGGCCGCCATCCGATTCAAAAAGCGCTGGCCAATCGATAGATTATTTTGAGTTTCTCCAGAGGGTCAAAACTCTTACGGGCAATGACGGAATTGTTCTCTGCGCTGCTGGGCTTGGTCCATCGGCCATCGTCAACATGAAGGACGCCGTTCGGGTGTACTTACCGTCCAAGCTGAAGCAGGAGTGGGCCGGTTTCAAAATAGGTGTCCTTCAGGCCCTTGCGAAAAATTACGCAAAAGGTGACTTCCACTCCGTCACTGCAGAGAATAAAACTGATCTGTGCAGCGACTAAGCAAGTTTATGGTGGTGTTGACGAAGACAGTCGAATTTTGCCTCCAATCGAACCACAGATAACTGGAAGTTAGTATCTGAGACCAACCCTATACTAAATAATAGACACTAATCAGCTTCCAGCGGCAAATTTTACATCTGGCCCTGAAGAAAGGGGTAAATCGCCCTATATCTAAGAACTTAACTAGGGTAGCTAACGGGACCCTAGCCTCCCTTTCCGGAGACGTCTATGAACTTACAGTCGAAGATGTACGAGGGATAGCAACAATGCCAGACCAGATTACGGGCAAAATTCGGTTGACTGAAACCTATAACCCATATACGCCGTCATTCATCATCATTCCGATCTCCAATGAGCTCACAAATCGATTGATCATAAATCGGCCAAGAGTTATATGATTGCGGTCCAACTACTTAACATTATTCGCAACAGCATATCCTACTCGAAGAGATCCTGAAACCCTAAACCACCAACCACTATTTCAAGGGACGATCACCATATGGCCGGCCTCTTCTGTTCCCACCCCATTGACATAAGAATCGTCTTTCCTTTCAAAGATGCGTATGGCACCTTGACTATTGACAACATCAACAACAACTGCAACAGAGTTCTCTGGAGAATCAATTCAGATCACCTTCAGAAGGTCAGTTCACATTATTGAATTACAATCATCACAACCTTTCTTGAGAAAACTCAGTACTTCATATTATTTCATTTCCTGTTTTTAGTTTTCTTTAGCTTGAATATATACTTTCTTGATTTTCTCTAAGAGATTATCATCAGTAGAGAATGTCATCCTGATTTTTATAATCTCTTTACTCATAACTGAAGCCTTCATCTGACTGAACAGTGCTAAAACTTCTGTTAAGATGAATCAGACTGAGTATCAACAGATGACTAATACTGAGATAAAATCAAAAAGTTATAGACTATGAAATGCATTAGAGAGTTGTATTAATGACAGTAGAAGTACAGAGATAGCAGATTCTAACTAGTGAATATATCAGAAAGTTTTGAAATCTAAGCTTCTATATATATGATAAGTCTTCAATGATTTATTATCAGTCATACTTTGATCAAGATTCTGAGATTCATGAAGTGATTAACAGATTGAGTGATGTAAAAAGAGCAGATATAATGAGAGATAAGATACTTACTAACTATAAGTCAGATAAAGTGAAAATATTTTTATAAGAAGCAGAGTAGAAGAGAGTCTTACTTATATAAAGAGCAGCTAATAATCAGAAAAATTGACTGATCTTTGCAGATGATAAAGATATTTCATATATAAGTCAGACAGTTAGTTATCAAGTCAGCTGACAAGAATAGCATGATATAAAGTAGAAAAATATTAGAAGTATTATAACTTTACAGTGACTTTATCAAAAATTGAAAAGATATTAATATATTTTGATGAGAAACTGATTATAAAAATACACTAATATGCTTAACAGTAACTATGAACACTCATTTATTCATTCAGACTTTGATAAATTAACTAGTGATAAACAAGGCTCAGCTCTGCTCAAATATTCTAAGATTTTCTGTAATTTCTTATTCTATTTTAAAAGCTATTAATAGAGCTGTATGTTGAGCTGTATATTATTACTATAGTAATCCAGCTCTTTCTATAATACTCTTCTTAAGAAGATAAGTACTTTACTTAAAAAGTAGATCTGAAATTAGTATAAAGTGTTCATATTATTCTTTATCTTGTAATTCAAAGGTTGCTTAAGCCAGCGTATGATTACAGATGTACGCCGGCTTCTTATATATTGTAATATTGTACACTAAATTAATTAGTGGCTGCTATGACTCTCTTTACACTTGTAAGCTAGTTCAGAAGTGACTGTGTTATTATTTAACAGTTATACATTCTTCTAAATCACATTCTTTCTCATCAGATTCAGTCACACTTATATAATCATGTCATACACTCTAGCTTCATGCAGATTAGCTCATCACTAGCATTTCATAATTATGTAATCTATTTCTGATTCAGCTAGCATTCTGTATACACTCTTATAAAGAAACTTTCACTATATTACATCACTTATTCACTAACTTTTCTCATTCTTCAATCATCTTCTTCATTATTATTATCATCAAATATCACTATTTCATTTAAGATTTCTATCTCTTCTTCTATTCAACTCTTTTTATCTGTTCATCTATTATATTATACATATTTCTGATAATAATCTTCTATTCTCATAATAAGTATTATTGTAGTGCTTATACTGAGCAGTTCATTAGCAGTAAGTGTAATATGTTATGAAATATAACTAGAACTTGTTTATCTTCTAATAATTATCAGAATATACTATTATGAATAACACATCTTCTTCATCTTCTTATATACTCTTGATTATTTCCTTCTCAGCAGGTTTCTGATCATGTTTTCTGACATAATTTTACATGAACACAGATACTGATATGTTGTTTTTATTCATATAGAATTCTCACACATTGACAGATTTACATTCACTGATGATAGTGAACTCAATATTAAATCATTGATTAAGAACTTAAAGAATGTGATAATGAAGAAATTATCTGTACTATGTATAGCTAAGTCTCTCATGTTTCTTTCTACTCTCTCTATTTCTTTCTCTGTCACTCTCTCTCAATCTTCTACATCTGTCTCTGTGTCTGATTCTCTCACTCTCACTATCTCTGTTTCTGTGACTCTCACTCTCACTACTTCTAATTTTATCATCTCTGCTTTCATTATCAGCTCTTCTCATTTCAAGAAGATATTGCATAGACTTAATGAATTATATTTCTCAGTATGTACACTCTCACTCTTCTTATCAACTCTTAGAATAATTTATTATATGAAGACTGTATATAACACAATAATCTGAAGCTCAGTCACAGACACTGATTATTACATTCATTTTAAATATTTATAATAAGATAATTATTCATTTATATCAGAGAATCATCTTCTCTCTTAACAGTGTTGAGATTGTAAGTCTTTTTCTTTTTCATCTTTTCTTTCTAATGCTGATTTTTCTGTTCTTAGAGAAAATTGTTATGAGTTTTACTGTATACAAAGTTGTGATGTTCACAGATATCAAGAAGCTTTTTATAACTATAAAGTTCAATATTATAAGAATATTTACTCTGATAAATTTCTTCAGAATGATAGATCAGTATCAGTCTATTCTCTAATATCTGTTATCTGACTTCATGATACAGGCAAAAGATATCTGTGTTTTTGAGAATAGAAATATGAATATCATACTCTTTTACACTCACAGACATGAGGCTTGTACACCTTGTCTGAGATGTTATTATAAGAATAAGCTGTTTACATACTGTATTCTGCTTTCTGCATTCTCTCATATCTCTCTCTCTCTTTCTGAGAAGTCTCATGTGTGTTATAATTACATGTACAACTCTAAGATCAGTGAGTGTTTATTCAGTAACTGTTCTCATCTCTAATTTTATAATTTTCATACACTAATAATGATTCTTAGTTGCTTCAGCATTAGAGACTATTCTAATTGAAGATGATAACATCACTGAGACTACTCTCTCTCACTTTTAAGCTTCTTCTATCACTTTCTCTTCCTTCTCTGCAGAGAAGGTTGTGTGTATATCAGATTATAAGTGTTCAGCTCTGAGTGACTTTCACTGTCATTCATCTGATTCTGTGTCTTCTTCTTCTTCTGTTTCTTCTGCCTTCACTCTCTCTGCTCTGACTTCTGATTCTGCAGATTTCATACTCTTCTTCAATTTCTCTATACATATATATATGCATTTCTATATTGGCATTTCAGTCAATCTTGTAATAAATGACATTAATGTTGTACACAGAGTGATAGAGAAATTAGAGACATGTACAGTGTTATTACAAGAGCAGCTTGCAGCTCTTGAATCTCTTATAAATCTTGAGTTTTGAGATTTTCTTTGTTTTTGACATTTTTCAGGTGATGTGGCATTGGAAATAGATTAAATATGTAGTATATAAAAATGAATGAGATGTATATGATAACATTTGTCTTTTACAGCTGACTCTTACAGTTGATGATTAATTCATTATCTCTTTTCTTTTCTTACACTTTTTCTTTATCTGCTAGTCACTACTCTAGTACTCTTACATGATCTCTATATAATACAGCATTCAGTGACTAGGTTCAGCAGCTTTCATCTTTTATGATTCTGTCTTATGCATTATACTGTCTCTCTTCATTCACTCAGATCACTACAGTAAACAGCTTATCAAAACTAATCTCACTCAATCTCTGAGCATTCTCAGAGATTGAGATGACTTGATCTCATACATCTGTAAATGTTTCAGATAGTTTGTTCTCTGTGATCTCTGTAATTGAACTGATGTAAACAGTTGAATTCAACTCTGAATTTCTTTTTCTTCTACAATATGATTCATGTGTAAGTCTACTGCTTTGAGACTGCTTTTTACTGCATTGTACTCACTATCTACAGCACATTATCATACAACTGACTACAGTCTCATCACTTATTAAAGTATGATATTTACCTGATTTCTTCACTGCTTCTCATTCTTTTCTTATAATTATGAAAAGATTGAAATAAGTGAGATTATCTGATTTATAAGTGTCTATGATTTCTCTTACTTTGTAAGACTTTTCAATTGTAAGCTTCTTCTTTTTCAATGCTGATAATAGTGCTGTGAATGATTATAATCTGCTCAGATCTTGTATCTTTATTTTCACAAGTTATGAATCATTGATTAAGTTGTATAAGATCTGTTCCTCTGATTCTTCCAATGTGTACATTCTCAGAGAATGTAATTTGAGTATTTTATATGACTTAAACTATCTAGATTAAAACTTCTCAGAACTCTCATTGTATACAAGAACTCATATTCTCATCTTAAAACTTGATTTCTTAACTAGTGAGTCTTGTATTCTTTTCAATTGAATTGCTTAGTTCAGAAGTAACTTGTTAGCTTTTGTATGTATGTGACTGATCTCTTTCAATCTTGATTCTGTGTCTGCAACTGTTGTATTCATGACTGTTGTATTCACAGCTGCTGTTTTCTCTCTCATCTTTTTCAAAGCATTCTTCAGAATGTGCGGATGCAATTCATACAATAGATAGAATAATGAATGCTTGAAGACTGCATGCTGCTGAATTCATGTGACTAATAGTGTCTGATTGAGATATTCATCTCATAATCTTGTAGACTTGCTCACTAGATATTTCATCAGCATGTTGTTCAAGATTCTATTCAAGTATTTCATCTTCTCATTCATCTGCAGATGATATGATATTATTCTACAATATCTTATCTGTAACTAACTTATAAAATGCCTCACTGCTTCTTCTATGAGATTCACATCATTATCAGTTAGAATCTCACACAGCATTTCATAGTTGACATAGATCTCATTATGTAGAAACTTTGTTATCATCTTCTCTATTATCTCTGAAACTGCTTTTGTAACTGATCAGTCAGTAGCATAATCAATAGCAGTGATTATTCATTAATTTTCATTTGATGTTCACAGTAATATGTCTATGAGATTCACTTCTCATTATTTGAACAATTGTATTATACACTTCATCTGATGTTGTACTTTCTTACATTCTAATTCTTTCTTAGATTCTTTCACAACCTGATAATTCAGGCACTTATGAGTATATATCTGAATGTTCTCAGTCATGCTTGACCAGTATGCTCTTGATTTGAGTACACTCATGAGTTCAGAGCTTTCTAAGTGACTGAATTCCTTGTGTATGTGAGTCATCAAGTCATGTCTAAATGAATATTCTAGATAGAGAGCTTTCACATATTCTAAATCACAGTAAAGCATAACATCATTTTTCAATTTTCTCAGCTTAAAGTTCAGAAGCATCTCTTCTACTACTTTCATAAGATACTTGTTATCTGACATCTTATCATTCTCTAATCAAGAGATCATGATATTCACTCATTCTGATT